TATCTATATCTATATCTATATCTATATCTATATCTATATCTATATCTATATCTATATCTATATCTATCTATCTATCTATCTATCTATCTATCTATCTATCTATCTATCTATCTATCTAATTCAGCTTTGTTTGGGTATTTTCCCACGTCATTATAGTTGTGCTTTTAAACTTTAAACTTTTAAAAGCACAATTATAACGACGTGGAAAATTACCCGAACAAAGCTGAATACCATACATGTAAGTACCCGTGAAAACCTAAGAAAACAAATATATATATATAATATGTATATGTATATGTATACACACATTCCACCCTGTAGTAGATTGCTTTAAAATAAATGCTACGATGTCAGACATGCTGATCCTGTTCTCATAATGCATTTAACCGGTTTAAGGGAGGTTAAGATGGAGTCAATTGAGGTAGTAAACTAATCCTGAGGGGGAAATCAAATAGACCCAGTCAAGCAGAGGGTCAAACTCATTTCATTCAGGTTATGCTTTCACGGGAACCGTTTAACAGTTCTGAGATCAAGAGAAAGTTTTAGAAAGACTGTAAAAAAAAATGGGTTTTCCTGAATTCGCTATCTCTATAGCTGTTTTAGTAAATTACACACACACACACATACACACACGAACAGAAACAGATGGGAGGTGAGTAGGATTCTGTCTCTTAGAATCTGTCCACAACAGTGGTGGCATCAAAGTGCATTTTTTCCGTTACAGGTAGTCCTTGACTTATAACCACAATTGAGCTACAATCGATACTGTGGCCACCAAAACTGGATGCACAATTACTGTATCCAATTTTGGCCACTACAATATAAAAAAGATGTTGAGACTCTAGAAAAGAGTGCAGAGAACAAAGATGATTAGGGGACTGGAGGTCGAAACATATGAAGAACGGTTGCTTGGAAATGGGTATGTCTAGTTTGATGAAAAGAAGGACTAGGGGAGACATGATAGCAGTAGTCCGATATCTCGGGGGTTGCCACAAAGAAGAGGGAGTCAGGCTATTCTCCAAAGTTTTCTTAAATTTATATTTAAAAAGCATGTGTTGTGTTTATAGTAGAGACAGGATCTTTCTAGAAGGATTTCTTCCCTTTCTCAGCACTTCCTGGAATGACTGTGCACAATCCTGCACCAGCTCTTTATTCATTGATTTTGGGCCAACTCTGGACTACCTTTTTGGAGGCCTCTGCTCTAAATCTACTACCAGAGGAATTCAGGGAGAAATTCTATCACATTCAGCTTCTCTACCACCACACAAAGTTACTCACCTCAGCCATAACTGTCAAGATGGCAGAGGTTGCAACAACCATTCCAAAGGACTGATAATCACCAGTGACCCGGATGCCTGATCTGTCCCCCATGGCCCACATGGTGACGTAGAAGTTGACCAAAGAGACAAAGGATCCATGGATGAATGACACAAAGAATATTCCAAAATTGAAGAAGAGGTCTTTTTGACCTGCCTTGTACAGCTCGGGGAACTGCAGACTTTTCTTGGCGTTCACATCCTAATGAGAGAAAGAGTGAAGGCAATTCAGGAAGGAGGGAAAAGTCAGGAATGGAACAGTGGAACTGACTGCTGGCAGTTGTAGATTAAACATATCTGCTGTCAGAGTTCCGAGTAATACATCCACCAAAAGCAGGTAGATTCCTGAGGCAGGTAGATTCCTTAAAGAACATGTTTATTGGACAAATTATATCGGCACAGCTAGCGAAAACCAACTCTAAAGGTTCCTGTGGTTTTCCTCCTAATTAAAAGAGCAAATATCCCCTCCCTAGGTATCACCATTCATATTGTCCAATGAAGGTAGCTGGGAGGCTGCTTGGTCACTCAACTCCTTCACTTGCCATCTGTTGGGATGACCTTGGTTCCCACAAGAAAACCTTTTGTTTTGACTGGTAGCCAGTCTATCTGCTTCCCCTTTCCCTTCCCCCTTTCAAAGTTCATGGCAACTCTGAGGCAGGAAAAGATGACTTCAGCCAGGTCAGCTTCAGAGTTGACATCTGGAGGGAGTCACACTGGATAAGATTACAGGCAGTCCTCGACTTACAAGCCCAAAATTGAGCCCAGATCTGTTGCTAAGCAAGACAGTTATTAAATTAGTTTTGCCCCATTTTATAACCTTTGCTGCCATAATTGTTAAATGAAGCACAGCAGTTGTCAAATGAATATGGCTTTCCCATTGCCTTTGCTTGTGCTCAGAAGGTCACAAAACTGATCACATGACCCCAGGACACTGCAACCGTCATAAATGAATTTTGATAGCATCTGAATTTTGATAACATGCCTATGGGGATGCTGCAATGGTCATAAGTGTGAAAAACATTATAAGTCACTTGTTTTAATTCCATGTAACTTTGAACAGTCTCTAAACAAACTATTATGAATCAGGAACTACCTGTACTCTAAAACAGGAGTGCAATGTAATGATTTCCCCCAATCTTCTGTTCCTTTTTATTGGTTCCCAAAATACTCCAGATGTGACCTGCTGAACCTTGGTGGCAACAGGTGGTTTCTAGTTTTTGCAAAGCAAAAAAGCAAAACAGATGTGCTAAAACCACTGATAAGCTTACCCCTTAATCTTACCTTAGCCCTAGTCACAATCTTTCCACCAATGGCAAATAAAAGTTAGAATTCATCATTGCTCCTCCAGTGACATCATTGCTGCACCTTTGTACTCAAACCACTGAAAATATTGCTCAAAAAAGGCAACTGTTGGGCATAACATAGAGCCAGTTTGATTTAGCAGTTAAGGCACCAGGCTAGAAACCAGGAGATTGTGAGTTCTAGTCCCGCCTTAGGCATGAAGACCGGTTGGATGACTTTGGGCCAGTCATTCTCTCTCACCCCAACCTACCTCACAGGGTGATTGTGATGGGAGAAAATAAGAGGAGGAAGGAATATTATATAAAGTTTGTTGCCTTGAATTATTTATAAAAGTAATAAAGGGGGGATAATAAACAAATATTTCCCATCTTTGCCTCAGTAAAAGAAGATGGGACAAAATCCTGTCACAAAAGGGATACTGCTTCCCCCTGCTGGTGATGTCAGGTACAGAAGGCAGAAATCTGATCTCCAGATTCTCTATTTCCAAAATGGATACTGTAACTCCCAGGTCTACAGCCAAACGCATTCCTCAAGACTCTGAAAGAGAATTAAATGCCACAATTCTCCCCATTTTGAGGTGGAAAATGCATGAAAACTATATTGGAAGACCCACAAGAGACTTGCCATAGTTTTTAAAAAAAAACCCTTCATAAAATTACCCTAGAAAGAACAAACGAAAAGAATAGCCCTATGCAATTTGGGATTTCCTCAAAATGTTAAGTAATGCCAGTAACCATTAGGCCGTAATCTATTTCTTCTCAATTTTCATTGTTTGAATAACAGCATCTGTGCTTCTGTTGTCAAAGTAGTATCATTCCACTTTGCTGAAAGGCAAAGTGTTTAATGAAAAATATGGTTAAAACTTCCAAAATATACCAAAGTGGCTTTCACTACCTTTTATTAATTTCTTCCATAGAAGTATGACAACTTAAGCTATGGGAGTAAAAGCTAAATTCATATTGTTGTTTTTAAAAAATCTGATCTGGAATTTAACTCAATATGAACATGAGTTTTGGATTATAATCTTACTAATGAGCTTCATAACATGTCCTAAATTTGGTTTTTTCTTAACATAAGCTTTAACATTTCAGTTCTTTTTTTTCCTTTTTTTCTGATTTGCTAAATTTGTTACAATTTTCAGATCTTACTGTAGCTTATGAATCAAATCATGCTGGTTATAGATAGCAATTCCTGCACAATAATCTGATTCTCATGTTTACACAGCAAACCTCTTCGGTTGGTTGGGCTAAGAGATACTGTCGGGAGGGAGTGTGCAACTGTTGGAAGTTAAAACCTACCCCTCTCCTAGAAAAATGAAATATTTTAGGATATATTAAAAAGGCAGAATATTTCCCCTAAAAGAGAAGTAGAAACTTAGAGAGGCAGAAACTCAGTCCCCCTCACACCTTTGTTAATAGGCCATTAAGGCCTGGGCCAGTTTATTCTACATAACAAAGATCTACCTCCTTCAGGCAGAGCCATTTCATTGCCCTTCATTGCACCACCCACCAAGTTTCAACCGAAAACTGTAGAGAGTGGCTCAAAATAGTTCACTGGGTAACAGGAGACCTGGATGACAATCTTAACACTTAACCATCACACTTCACACTTTTCTACAAATCTCATTTATTTGTACATATTCTCCAAATGCTTTAATAGGTGGCAAGCATCTAGCAAACGCTTCCCGATTTTGAAAATAGAAAACAAGCTCTGAATTAATTCGAACTTAGAAGGGAGATCACTATACAATCTCACAGGTTGCACTGAGCAATGAAAAAGCCATCTTGGAAGAAAATAATGTTTTTTTTTCTATAGGTAGTCCTTGCTGGGGAAACTGGGGGTTGGTGCACACATCTTAAAATTGCTAAAATTTAGAGAAACTAAACTTGCTTGTCGCTTCTCAAAGCAAATGCTGCCATTTCTTTCCACTTGTCTTCTACATGGTTCTCCTGTAAAATTTACTCTAGTTATCCTCATCGGAGACATCAAAAACACTGGGCTATTTGAGATTCTAGCTAAGTGGAATATTTCTTGGTTGTCTTTAAATCAGGGGTGCACTTCCCTTTCCCTCCCTCCCTCCCTCCCTCTCTCTCTCTCCTTTGCATTAGGGAGGTAAAGGATATTTCCGAACATACCAGGGGCCATTGATTTAACTTACAATGAAAACGATACAGTGTAAAACACTGCATAATGCAAAGTTACTTACCTGTTCAAACAAGCCCAAACACAGGACTGGGAACGATGTGTAGATAACATTATAAAGGGCAAGGAACCAGCCCTCCAACAGAGGCTGAATGGAAAGAGAAAAAAGAAAGAGAAGATTAGAGAGACATCTTGAAATCTATGACCAGGACTATCATTTTCTTCCTCTGCACATTATCCAGAATCGGAACTAAATTCCTAAAGCTGGATGGCTTTTCCAGGAACATCAGTGATTCCAGAGAAAGCCCACAGCCTTTGTGAATAATCGCCATTAGTCCATCTACAAATTACAGGATGAATAGATAGATTCCGGATGTTGATTTTTGTGGCTAACTAATCAAGGCGAGGGCTTTGTCGCAACAACAATCCTGCTACTAGCGAAGATGTAGCTATGTTTGCACTGAATATCAAGGAGGAAGCTGTGTTTATGCCGGCACTCTTTGCAATGTGTCTTTAAATGCTTTGCACGCCTTTGCACTCCAATGCAGCTGATCCCTCAGCACAATATGCACAATGCCTTGCGTGCATAAATGCCACAATGTTTTCTTCCTTCTGTTTAAACTGTGACTCTTCCTTGCCCTTTCCCCACAATAATAACTGACTGATATAAGCATGCACAGTGTCAGGCCCCAAGAACCAAGAAATAAAATGGAATTAATTCTGAGCAGTTTCCTTTATTGTTCCTCTCCTATAGACAGAGCATTTGTCAAACTAAAATTACTATTTGCAGTTTAAAAAACAGATATTGTCAGAGAATTGGTAGGGAGGAGCCTTCTTAATTCTCGTTCTCCTAACCAAACTATCTAAGCTTTGCCGTCTCTTTGCCCTCTGGAATGCAGCCCCTCCCTCCTGGAAATCCAGACTACAATCCACCCACACATAGGTAAAATACATTAGTGTATCATGGCTGTTTTAAGGCCATGGGGTGAGTTCAGAAGAAATTTATGCCAAGAACCATATCATGTTATCAGGATCAGATGGATTATACCCCAAGGTTCTGAAGGAACTGGTAGATGTGATCTCAGAATCACTGAACCACATCTTTCAAAGATCCTGGAATACCAGGAAACTACCAGATGACTGGAAAAGAGCTGATGTAGTTCCCATCTTCAAAGAAGGAGCAAAATAGATCCAGGAAACTACAGACCTATCAGCCTGACATCAATACTTGGGAAGATTCTGGAAAAGACAATTAAGTAACGAATCTCTGAACACCTAGAGACAAAGTCATAACCAGAAGCCAAAGTGGGTTTCTCAAGAACAGATCATGCCAGGGAAATCTTACTTTATTCTTTGACAGTGTGACAAAATTAGACCAGAGAAATGCTATGAACATGTCTGGCACAAGCAAACAACCAGATCCACTTGGGAAAGGTTCAAAGGTTCAACTTTATTGTGTTCTGCCTATATTACAAGAATCTCCCCAGACTTTTCGTTTTCCCTTGGGAACAAACCGATAAGGTTTCATTTAAATTAAAGTGGTGGGGAGTCAGGTTTATGAATCTGGTGGGTCACACAAGGATTCAAGACTACCTCCCTGCTTGACTCCTCCTCATCCATATCTGGCTGGGAACCCAGCATCACACAAGTTCAGAAATGAAAGTCAGACTGAAAAGATTAAAATCAGGGGTTTAGGGTGGGGTGGGGGAATTAACACTCACCTGTGCTGTGAATCCGGTATAGAAAGCAAACCAGATTTGCACCATCATGCCAGCAAACGTCTTGAAGAAGAAGTAGCGGAGAAATTTGGAGATCCGGAGGTAGGACCACTTTCCATGGACGAAGAGGAGCCTCTGAAGGTAGCGGAACTGAGCCAGTGCATAATCACTGCACTGTACTGCTTGCATGCCTTCTTGCCCACTGATTCCAACTCCTATGTCCGCAGCTGGAGAGAACACGAGGAAGGGATAATATCAGACCACATTCCAATTTTGACTCCAGCAATTATTTAACAGAACAACAGAGTTGGAAGGGACCTTGGAGGTCATCTAGTCCAATCTCCTGCTCAGGCAGGAAATCCTATACCCGTGATGCCGAACCTATGGCATGTATGCCAGAAGTGGCACGCAGAGCCATCTCATTGGGCATGTCATCCCATTGCTCTTCTGGTTTCTGGTGCTCCTGTGCACGCCTGCTCCCGTTTTGGCACTCAGTGCCGAAAAGGTTTGCCAACACCATTTCAAACAAATGGTTATCCAATCTCTTTAAAACGTCCAGTATTGGAGCATTCACAATTTCTGGAGGCCAGTTGTTCCACTGATTAATTGTTCTGTCAGGAAATTTCTCCTTAGTTCTAAGTTGCTTCTCTCCTTGATTAGTTTCAGTCCATTGTATCTCGTCCTGCCCTCAGGTGCTTTGGAGAATAGCTTGACTCCCTCTTCTTTGTGGCAACCCCTGAGATATCAGAACAGTGCTATCATGTCACCACTAGTCCTTCTCTTCATTAAACAAGACATACCCAGTTCCAGCAACCATTCTTTACATGTTTTAGCCTAATCATCTTTGTTGCCCTTCTCTGCACTCTTTCTAGAGTTTCAACATCATTTTTAATTGTGGCGACCAAACCTGGATGCAGTATTCCAAGTATTCCAATTTATGGCTTTATGAAAAGCTCAGAAGTTTCTGATTAAGATGGGAAAGGGGAAGGATCCTTGCAGGGGACTGCAAGTCTTGTTTGCAAATCACCCCAGCTTTAATTCCCAGATAGAGGCCCAAAGGAGTGGGAAACAACCACCTGTCCCAACGAACCAGGTAGATAACCCTGTAGCAATGAAGCTGAAGGCAACTTTGGCCAACTCTTAACCGTCCTCAGCAAGAGATCTGTTTAAACATCTTGTAAGAGTTGGTTTTCCCTTCCTTGATGCTTGGTGTTTTTTTTTTTAATGCTAAGGATAACTTCTAATCAAATTCAAATTGAAGGAATTAAAATTTCTAAACCTAATTTACAGGCCAGGGATTTCTGAAGTCTTCAATCCAAATACTAATCAACATTGGCTTTCCAAGCTTGGTCCTAAGGACTTCAAAAGAAAAGCAGGAAGGATACAGAAATAAAAAGGGTGTTAGAAAAA